ATCTTTTTAGATAGTATTTCAGCTATAGCAATTGCAAACAACCCTGTATTTCATGAAAGGACAAAATATATTCAACATGATTGCCACCTCATAAGGGAGTAGATTTCAGCCGGGATAATCAAACTTCAACATGTTCCAAGCAAAGATCAACTGGCAGATTTGTTCACAAAGGCAGTTTCACACCAAATCTTCAATCACTTGTCATCCAAGCTCAACATGAATAACATCCAACCTTGATCAATCGTGCTAAGAGCCTTCTCTAATTGAAAAACCCTAGGTCCGCTACTCAAGGCATATTGAGTTTTCAACTCATCCCAAACAGATTTCGCCGAAGTAAAAAATAACAGAGACTGGCGAATCTCTTTGCAAATGGAATTTAAAAGCCAAGAGAGGACCAAATTATTAGCACGTAACCACGCAGGGTAGAGATTAGGGTTAGGGTTACCAGTCGAAGCAGGAACAGATATGGATCCGTCGATAAATCCGCCTTTGTTCTTTACGCTCAACGCCATCGCGACAGCACGCAACTAGGAGACGTAATTCTCGCCGTTGAATAACTCGTCAACGATGAGCGCGCCAGGATTGTCACTGGCGTGCATAAAATACGGAGAGAATGGATCGTCAGACGGATTCTGAAACACAATAGCCATATCGCTCACAGTAGACGAAGATAGGTCAGCAGAAGTCGGTCGAAAATCAGACAATCGTATTGCCAGCGATTGATACCATATTAGAGTTTAGGGTTTTCTGTGGAAAGAAAATCGACGGAGAGAAAGAGAGAAAAGGAAAATTTGATAAAATGAATTGAATTGAATCATCCTTTTATTCTCTTGTACAAGCCTTTTCTAGTAGGCATTATAAACTAAAGAGAAAGTGTTATTATGGTAATAGCAACTATACAACCTCTATTTTCTCATCTTAACAACACATATTCTAATATTGCCGAAACCCCCGGACGACCTCAAAGTCGGTCAACCTCGTCGTCGCAATCATCGCAGCCGACTTCGTCATCTCCAAAATAATTTTGAAGTCCCCGATCTCAGACGTCGGACATCGAGCAAATCCATGCTCGATCTTGNGTCGATTTCCTTTCCACAGAAAACCCTAAACTCTAATAGGCGATGGTGACGTCGGTGATGCTTGACGAGGGGGTCGAGCCCCGATCTGGTTCAGAGGTTGGAGACGAAAATTGGCTCGCGAGATCGGCCCCAGTGGCGGTGATGTCGGCCCAGATTTGCAGGTATATATATATATATATATATATATATATATATTTCATTATTTTTTCAGGTATTTATATATTTCATTATTTTTTCACATTTCTCTTCTTGCCGACTCAGCGACAAAAAACTCTGAGGCGCCGACGGGTTGCGAGGTCGGCCGGTGGTGTTGTGTGGTCGACCGCCGTGAACTTGGTCATTTCGTGAATTTGTTCCTCCGTTCCTCCTCTTTTTTCTTTTTTTTTTATTTATTTCGTTTTCATCCTCCACATCGAAAACGTAAGTATTAAATACGCATATAAAAATAATAAGAGCACACGTATGGGAGATTTGTCTATCTTTTCTCAATCAATTTTTGAAGAAAGAAATCAAATAGAAAATCGGAGGGGGGGTGGGGGTGGGGGAGATTTGTCTCAATCATTTTTCCCCTTCTTTTTTTTTTCAAAAATATGAGATATAGGTACAAATATATACCAAAAGCGCACACAAAATTTGACTCTCTGCTTGCTTTTTCATTTTCGGACAGCACATAATATACAAGGAGATAACAATGAAGAACAATGTAGAAAGATAAGAGTAAAAGTATGAATAATCCTGCCAAACTCTGGAGAGGTCTTTTTCCGGTGGGGATGTGGCCGTTTTCCGGCGAAAATTGACTCCGAGAAAATTACGGAGTCCTTCCTCTAGCGCCAAAATGTTGATAAACGGATTTGTATCAACGAAAATTACACCCCTATTCTATGAATAATCGGTGTTTGATCTTTGTATGTATATTGAAGATGGAAAAATGATGAATTTTTTTGTATTATTGTTGTTGAAAGAAGATGAATGAATAGTGACCTCGTTTCTTCTTTTTCTCTCCCATATCCCCATACATATACATCTCCATTTTCTTACAAGTGGGCTTACAAGTGGGCCTATTAAAAAATATGTAAATAAGGAACATTAATATTTAATGTGAAATGACATTGTGGGGCCTGATCGTGACATTTGATGGTTTCGATTGACGTCTACTTTTTCGGCAATTATTGTGTCTGTCGGACTCATATCTTCTCGATATTCGGGTTGGACTGACGATATTAATTATGCTCCGCTCGAATGTGGATGATCTGGGCACTCGGGAACTCGGTCGATATTAAATAATCAGCTCAGAGAACCTGCTATATTTATATTTATCCACGTGTAGCCTTTTTATTAATCGAGGCTAAATTGCGTATCAACAATATACAATATGGATAATCATATGGGATACTAAACCTAAAAGAATAAACCAATAGAGTAGACTGGTCGAGCAAGCCGAACAAACCATTTCGTCGAACAAAATCCGAACGCAGTGGTCATGGTCGAACATCACGGGATTAAGAGTCTCTAAATTGGAAGACAGTTTAAAGAGAATTTCGGTAGATGGAAAGTTGGTCGAGCCAGAGCCCTCGGATAGCCTGGTCGAAACTCGACTTACAGTACTCGGAGCAGTCAAAGTTTTACCTCAAATCGACCTAGATTTGGTCGAGCCTTCGAGGACGAGAAGATCTCAGGGGAATCAAATCCCCACGTGGTGAGAACACGTGGCATGACCTGATTGGTTCATACCTCATAACCGTCTCTGACACACCTTCAGTGTGTGTTGTACTACCGGGCAACTCGGGTAGCAGGGGCAGCCTTTTAGAAACAGGTACCTCACCCCTATATATAGGGGTGAGATGTGTGATTTCCGGCATTATGTTCATTATACTCTTGAGGGTTCATCATCTACGATTACTCATTTAAGTATCGGAGGCTCATTACCAGAAAAATCCTAGCCAGCGTATGCTTGTTGAATTGAAGGCATACCGCACACTGCTTCAAATAGAAACATATTGGTTAAATCCGCAATTAAGGAAATATNTATAGCTTTGTACAATTGATTATAGTAAGGAGTTGTCCTCCCGTCCGTGAGTATTACCTGTGATCCCTTGTTCTATGTTTGAATAGTCCTAGAAAGAGGACCGCCTTCTTGTGGCCTTGAACGAGGGTACGGAGCAGACGCACTCCGTGTTCATTGCCAGTTTACAGGTGTATACGATAAGACGAGGAAACTTACGCCGTGATGTGCAAAGAGCGAAAGTAGGACCCGTCTATAAATGTTTCTGTAATCTTGATAAACTGATTCCTTTGACTGAAAAAGGGTTTGGACTCTTCTTTATTGTTGCTAAAAATAAGAAGATTTTTAAGAAGTTTAGTAATGCTCATCTTCATTTGTATATGGCAACGTCTTTGACTTCACTTCGCTTTGCTTCGTTCGTACACTTTGCTCTGCTCTGTTTTAAGGATCTCATGTGAGAAAGAGGTGTGAAAGTTATTGCAGGTACAAGGCGTTCTACCGACGATGAAGCATTCGATCAACCGATGTCCAGCGGTCGGAGGGCTTTGACGTACCATTTTGGCTCCGTCTATGGGACTCCTTCGAAAAGTTGTGTGCAGAGCTTCAGAGCTATTTCGTCCATGACGGACGAGGTTCCAAGGAAGAATTTACAGCTGTCATTCGACGATGTGTGGACGATGACTAGACCATTCGGAGTTGGCCGTCATCCTGGCTTCTCTGGACCTTCTCAAACCCCGTTGAGCCCAACGTCTGCTCCTCAAGGTTTTGGAGGCTCATCGACGGTTTCTGTGGTGGAGGTAGGCTCGAGCCAAGTGCAAGAGGCTCAAGCAGCACAAGAGACGGTGGTGCCCGCACAGACGCAACCAATTCTAGTTGGAGCTCAACCAGTGGAAACAGTGGCGCAAGCGGTGGAGCTACCAAGAGCGGACGTGGAACAACCTAGTCAGTAGGTGATGACGATGACCTAGGAGGAGATGGAGAGGATGGTGGCCAATGCGGCAGTGCAACAAGCCACGAACCATACTCCGCATGCCACTACCGCACCGACCATGGTGGTAGACGCACTACAAAACACGGAGGAGAATGAGTTGAGCTTTAGAGGAGAGGGAGTCCCAAGGAACCGAGCTTTAGAGAGGAAAGTCGAGCAGTTGCATCAGTTGAAGTCAAGGTGGATGGTAGACCGATAGGACGTGCTCGAGGACATCCTTTCTCGAGGGATATTTTGGCGGCACCTTTATTAGTCAACTTCAGCGAAACCAGCTTGACGTACAATGGTCGACTGACCCGTCGAGACATGTGTGGTCGTTTAAAAACATGATGGTGTTGCATGGATATTTAGATCCGGTAAGTTGCAGGGCGTTTCTTTCGACCCTCAGAGGAGGAGCACTTGATTGGTTTCATCAGCTTCCCTCAGGGTCGATAAAGGATTTCGTGGACTTCTCGAAGAAATTGTTGAACCAGTACGTGAGCATGATTGCACAGGAGAAAACTTATCTGACTTTGATGGCGATGAGGCAAGGAGGGAGAGAATCATTGAGGAAATGCGTTGGTCGATATAATCAGGCGTGTCTAGAAATCCCGACAGCCTCGGACGAGGTCAAGGCTGGTGGGTTAATCAAGAGCTACGAGTTGGCCATTGCCGAAGTTCTCTGGCCAAGACCCCAGCTTGTACATACGATGAGGCATTGAAAAGGTAAAGGTGCAAGAAGTATATTAACTTGGAGGAGACATATGCTAATTTGCTAAGTTGAAAGAGTTAGCTCGACCCGAGCCAAAGAAAGTGAGGGCGAGCTTGCCCATGAGAGGTTCGCATAGGTGAGATAGAAGCAGACAAGAGAGAGGATAAAGAAGACAGGTGGAAGGATCGACCTATTCATGGTGCTCAGAGGTTTCATAATTTCACGCAGCTGAATACCAAGATGGGAGAGGTCTTGGTAGCAATTGAGAAGCAACTGGATGGTCGGGATGTCACGTGGCTGAAGTCGAGGTTTGACGGGCCAACTTAGTCGAAGTCGAGAAGGTACTGTAGGTTCCATAAAGATTATGGCCACACGACGAAGAACTTATTGCACCTCAAGGACGAGATTGAGCATCTAATTTGAGTGGGGCAACTCAAGTAGTTTGTTTATCATGACAAGAAAATGTCGGGAAGAATTTGTGGAGAAATGTGATAAGGACGAGAATGAAGATGACAATGGTCGAGAAGATCGAGGTGGTCGAAGAGGTGAAGGGAGTAAGAGGAGGCGAGGAGATGGAGGTTGAGAGGAGGCGGGGAATGGTGATAGTCAAAAGAGGCACTTTTTTATGATCTTTAGTGGACCTTTTGACAGTGATTCTAATAACGCTCATAGAGAACACGTTCGAGTTGTGAAGAGAATGAGAGAGGAGGTGGGCATCACAACCCAAATGCCAATCATTAGTTTTCAAGCGGAAGACGTTGAAAGAGTTCTGGTGCCACACAACGATGCGCTGGTTGTTACGACGGAGGTCGTAGGATTTGATGTTAAAAGGGTGTTTATCGATACGGGGAGTTCATTCGATGTGATGTTATATGACTGCTTTGACCAAATTAGTTAGCATTTGAACCTGGAACTCAAGGAGGTCGTAACTTCACTGTATGGTTTTAATGGAAGGGAGATGATGCTAATGAGGGAGATCTCTTTACCAGTCGCCCTAGGGTCGGGGGCAACTCATAAGGTTAGGATGGTGAGGTTAGTGGTTGTAGGGGCTGAGTCGTCTTATAATATCATCATGGGGATGACCAGCTTGAACGCTTTCCAAGCTGTGGCTTCAACCTACCACATGACGATAAAGTATCCGATAGGTGATAGTGTTGAGAAAATAGTAGAAGATCAACTGACTTCGAGGAGCTGCTATCGGACCACAGTGAGCAACAACCGGAAGATGGCCAAGAGACAAGCCAAACCTGGTGAAGAGGTTCAGAATTGACCAAGTGGTTCTCGGTCGAAGGAGAAGAAGTCAAAGCTCGATAAGGGCACAGAGAAGGTGGATATCTGACCCGGAGGAGAGATAGAAGAAATCCAAATGGTGGAAGGTTGTGAAGACAGGAAGTTCATGATCGGTAAGGATTTGGAGTAGCCATTGAGATCGAGGTTGGTTGAGTTGGTAAGGGAGTTCGCAGATATTTTTGCTTACACGGCGGAGGAGTTGACGGGCATCGATGTCAGTGTGATCGAGCATCGGCTCAACATTGACTTCAGTGTGAGGCTGATGAAACAGAAGAGGTGGCATCATGGTGCGGAAATGGACAGGGTGATCTAGCAAGAGGTGGAGAAAATTTTGAAAGTCGGGCACATCAAAGAGATACAATTTACGGAGTGGTTGTCCAATATTGTCACGGTGTTCAAGTCAGTGGAAAAATAGCGGATGTGTATCGACTTTCGGGATTTAAACAAGGCGGGCTCGAAGGATTTATGTCCATTTTCCAGGATCGACCAACTAGTCGACCAACTAAGTCTGATGGACGCATCACTGGGTTATCATCATATCCCTTTGGCTCGAGAGGATAGAAAGAGAATAAGCTTTGTTACGAACAGAAGAACATATTGCTACGTGGTGATGCCATTTGGATTAAAAACGCAGAAGCAACGTACCAAAGATTGGTAGATAAAATTTTTAAAGAGCAGCTTGCTCGAAACATGGGGGTGTACGTGGATGACATGCTGGTTAAAAGTAAGAAGGAGGAGGAGCATGTGGCGGATCTTTGAGAAACATTCACAACATTGTGGAGGTATGGGTGAAGTCAGGAAAGTTTCTTAGGTACTTGGTGACCAGAAGAGGCATAGAGGTCAATCCAGAAAAAGTGCAAGTAGTGCTAAAGATGAAATCGCCCACAAGTGTGAAGGAGGTTCAAGTCCTTACAGGTCGAATCGCGGGCTTAAGCTGGTTCATCTCGAAGGTGGCTGAAAAGAGTGGTCCATTGTTTAAGACATTGAAGAAATGCTTAAAATTTAATTAGACGGAGGAAGCTCAGAGGGCGTTCGAGGAGCTGCAAAATGTACTAGCTCACTTGCCTCTGTTAGGTAAGTCGGTCCAAGGAGAGGATCTGGTACTCTATGTTTCTATTGAGAGATCGTGGTGAGTTCAATATTGCTTCGAGAAGAGGAAAGAACTTAATTTTAGATTTATTATGTGAGCAGAGTAATGCAGGGAGTCGAGTTGAAATTCTCGGAGATCGAGAAGTTTGCTTTGGCGGTAGTGGTTATGGTACGAAAATTAAGGTCATACTTTTTGAACCACAAAGTTAAGGTAAGGACGAATATGCCACTAGGAGAAAAACTTGGTCGACCATCGATCTCGGGTCGACTAGTGAAATGGGCAGTCGAGTTGAGTGAATACTCCATTATTTATGAGCCTCGGAGGGCGATTAAGGATCAAGTTTTAGTTGATTTCATTCAAGAGGGTACAAGGATGGAAGTCGGAGGGCGATTAAGGATCAAGTTTTAGTTGATTTCATTCAAGAGGGTACAAGGATGGAAGTCGAATCGGATGGGAGATGACAATTGTTTGTGGACAAATCAGTCTCGAAAGGAGGAGCAGGTTTGGGCATCGTGTTAATATTACCCAAAGGAGATAATGTCGAGTTCGCAACCAAATTGGGGTTCCGAGTGTCCATCAATGAGGTCGAGTATAAACAGTGATTAAGGGTTTGCAGTTGGCTGTGGCGGGCGGAGCTCGAGAAATCCAAGTACACTTGGATTCTCAATTGGTTGTTGGACAGTTTCAAGAAGGTTTTCAAGTGAAGGAAGAGAGATGCAAAAATATGTGGATGTGTTAAATAAGTTGCAAGAGGAGTTTAGCTCGTTCGAGCTGATTCAAATACCATGAGGTGAGAATGGCCGAGCAGACTTTTTGTCGAAGATAACGCAAAACTTGGTTGATTGCAAAACTAGAAGTGTAGCTTTATTACATATGAAGAAGAGCAATGTGGAAACTGAGGTCGTAGAGATAGAGAAGGTCGAAGATTGGAGGGTTCCTATCCTGAAGGAGTTGAAGGAAGGAAGTCTGAAAGTGGTCAAAATGTTTTTCGAGCAAGATGGGATCATCTATAAGAGGTCGTATGCAGGGCCACACGTGAAATGTGTGACCAAGGAGGAAGGACGATATGTGTTGGCAGAAGTGCATGAAGGTTTCTGCAGTGATCATAGTAAGGCGGGGGCGTTGGTTGCAAAAATTCTTCGAGTTGGTTACTTCTAGCTGACAATGAAGGTGGATGCAATCTCGATTGTGAAAAAAATGCTTACAGTGCCTGAAGCATTATCCTCTTATACATCAACCGGTAGAAACAATGATGACGACGAGTGCTCCCATTCCATTCGCGCAGTGGGGAATCAACCTGGTGGGGCCGGTGCCGCAGGGAACTTGCCAGAGGAAATTTTTTATTGTAGTGGTCGATTATTTCACGAAGTGGGTGGAGACCGAACTTTTGACCCAGATCACAGAAGACAAAGTTATAAATTTTTTATATAACAATATTTACTGAAGGTTCGGTGTCTCCAAGGTGTTGGTGCCAAACAATGGAACTCAATTTAATGGCAAGTGAATTCGAGCGTGGTGCAATGATATGAAAATCGAGCAATCTTCTGAGTTCATCCGCAGGCCAATAGACAACTCGAGGTGACTAACAGGATCATACTGAATGGATTGAATACAAGACTTAAAAAAGGCTTCGAGGGCGTGGGTCGATGAACTTACTTCAGTGCTTTGGGCATACAAGACTACTCCGAGGTAGACAACAGGTGAAACCGCATTCAGTTTGGTCTATGGGATGGAGGCATTACTACCGATCAAGGTGGAGTTGGAATTTCACAGGTCGAGTGCATATGATCATGGCCAGAATAAGGAACTGATGCAGGCAGCCTTAGACACAATCGAGGAGCTCAGGAAGCAGGCATCGACCAGGGTCGCGACATACAAACAAAGGATGCGAGGCTTCTTTAAGTAAAGTCAAACAATTTTGGAAATTCTAGCTAAATACCAGAGGTTCTTTGGGTAGAGAGTGAATCTGGATAAATCTACTGTATTTTTTAGTAGAAATACCTGTCCTTCAACCCAGTCTCAAGTGTGCAACATTATGCTGGGTACTTATGTCCACATATCTTCTAGATACTTGGGTATGCCATTGGGTATTGGGAAGTCGAAGAAAGAAGTTTTTGACTGTGATCTTGTGGCTGTGGGGAGGAAGCTGGAAAGTTGGAAGAATTCCTTTCTGTCTACAGCAGCCAAAGAGGTACTTATAAAGTTTGTCCTCAATGCCATTATTGTTTTTATAATGTCTGTGTTCTCTCTTCCTAAAGCGATATGCAAAAAGATCTCCAAACTGTGTGCCAATTTCTGGTGGAGCTCTGGTGATGTGCAAAGAAAGGGCATCCATTGGAAAGCCTGGACTGGGTTTTCAAAATGTGCAGTTATTCAATGATGCACTTATACTGAAACAAATTTGGAAACTTCTAACAATGCTCAATCTGTCAGTGACCAAAATCCTGAAAGAGTGATACTTTCCAAGAGGTTCAGTCCTAGAAGCTCAGAGAACTCAGAGCTCCTCTAGGATGTGGAACTGCTGGATGACAGTTAAGAACTCTTACCAACATTTTTTCAGGAGGGAAATCAAGGATGGGATCAACCCTAAAATACTTACAGACCCTTGGTTACAAGGATCTAAAACTGGGATCCCAAAGTTCAAGGACAACTACAGTCAACATGTAACAATGATGTCTGACCTGTTAAAGGAGGGTGATTGGAGCTGGAACGTAGAACTTATTTAGGAACTGTTTGATGACACAGCGGTAGGGCAAATACTGAAAAGGAGAAAGCTTGATCCGTCTAGAAAAGACAGATGGATTTGGAGTGTTGATGTAAGAAGTTTGTTTTCTGTTAAGTTAGCGTATTCTTTGTTTGTGTGGAACAAAATTCTAATGATAGATAGAGCTGAAGGCAGTGGTTCTGCATCAAAGGATAAACTGGCTAGGATGAGATGTTGGAACTTGGATATTAAAGGGAAATTGAAACATTTTGTATGGAGAAGTTTTTTGGGTACTTTACCTGTAGCTGCTACACTTAGGAAAAGAGGGTTTGATGTTGATGGGATTTGCAGGTGTTGCGGGGAGAAGGAGGAAAGTATTGAACATGCTCTCTTTCATTGTAGCAGAGAAACCATTGTATATAAAATCTCAGCTTTGGAGTAGGAGTTCTGCAACCAAAGAGCAGGTAACCTTAATGATTGGTGGTGGCAAGTTGCTGAAATGGACAAATCTGAGATCTCAGAAGCTCGTATTCAACTTTCTACATATATCCTCTGGTGGTTGTGGAAGGCCCGCAATTTGTGGGTGTTTCGAGATGAATGGCTACCTGACGAGTTGATTGTGAAGAATACCTGGTGGGGGTGGTCTGAATTCCTTTATCGAAGAGTAACTTAATGTGGTGCAGGGAGTCGTAGCTGATTAGGTTCTTTTTAGTTCAGTTTTCTTCTATGGCTCTTTGTTTTTATCTATGTTCCCTTGTGGTATTTTGAGTTGTTAAAGGTTATAGGACTCGAGCGTTTGTCCTTGCCTATAGCCTTCTGTATGGATTTGGCTTGCATTTAGGATTTTAAAGTGTTTCCTCCTATGGCTTGGTTTTTATTCAGACTTAGTTAGTCCCACGATGTGTAAAATGTTTATTTTATTTTTAGCGAGTTTATTTGCCGTTTCACCACCTTTTCTCTCATCTACTCCTTAGTTTTCTCAACAATAATTTATAAATAAATGGTAGAAGTTAAGATGGGGTAAAAAATGAGATTAGCAAATTTATGAGTTTGGCTCAATCTAATGAAATGGTTGCGGAAAAATGAGATTAATAAATTTATGAGTTTGGTAGAAGTTCAGATGGGGTAAAAAATGATATTAACAAATTTATGGTTTTGGTGCAATCTAATGAAAAATTATTCTTCATATTTCTTTATAAAATTTACTATTCATTCACCCACATCATGATGTAGGGAAGCGTACGAGTGGGAAGGATAAACGAGTAAACGAGATACTCTCTCGTAAAACACGCAAGACTCACAATCTCTAATCTTATTTCATATTCAAAATCAACTAATCAAAATAAACTAGAGGAAGTCCTTTATATAAGGCTCCTAACCCTAAACCTTAACTTGTCCAACAAGACAAGAACTCCTATTAAATATTAAACAATAATATTAAATTACTAACTTACTCTCTAAGACACCTATTAAATAATAATAATAATAATAATAATAAATAATAATAATAATAATAATAATAATAATAATAATAATAATAATATAATACTCTACACCATTCTCCCTCGGTTCGGAAGGCTTCGCCCTCAAAGCCGACGCGCTCCCGTGGCTGGTGTGAAGGCGAACTCATGGTATTAACCCCCAACGTTTTCCCTTGTCGAACACGAAGGTTGAATATCGCACCTCCATGGTATCACCCCATTGAAATTCATGGAAAGGCATATATGCAGTAGCCACACACTGAATTTTGAAGTCCCTGTGGGGACCAAAAAACAGCATACAAGGCCGTAACAAATTCCCGTGAGAGAAAAGCTCGGGCCTGCGCAACAGAAGAACTACTAATTCTTCCAACAGCTGAATTTCGATATCCGGAACATGATGAAATTCCTCTGCCCTCGGAGGCTCCTCATCGAAAATCGGCGGACTGTCATAGAGACCGTCCACTTCGGCAGTAAGACACTGCTCCATCTCCTCGGGTCCTTCATCAAACACCGGCGGACCATCGTACAATGGCCCGTCAACTTGCTCTTCGTCGAATTCGAAGATGTCAACGCGAAACGGGCCCTCCCATTGACCATATTCGCGATCAAATCCCCAATCGTGTCTGGCACGATATCCGCTGGCGAAGGCAGCCTCCTCGCGCCTGCCTCTATCGTCGCGTTGATCGTCGCCATCCACAAAGACCGAGCCCCGTCGCCGCATGTCACGGCCGCCGTATGCAGTGAAGGGGTCAGTCTCGACGTGCGGGGGTGGAAAATCGTCGAAGGGATTCACCTCCAAGATTGTCTCCTCGCTGTCTTCGTCGCCGGACGGTGGTTGTGGAGATCTCCGGCGGGGCGCCCCGCTTGGACCACGGCCTCCACTTCCTCCGCGAAATCCCCCGCGCATGCCCCGGTTGCCGGCGTCACGGTACGTTTGCTTGTCCCGAACCATGGTACGAATAATTAGACGTATATCCCCGATCTCCGTGGACAGATCTGCAATCTCACGACCCATCGTCTCGAGCTGGCGGACAAACCACTCAGTCCGGCGGCTCAGGTTGTAGATGGCGGCGACACGCCTGTCGTTTGCAGCATCTTGTCGTCGCGACAGCATCGTGAATCGTGCTGACTTCTGATACCAACTGATGTAGGGGAGCGTACGAGTGGGAAGGATAAACGAGTAAACGAGATACTCTCTCGTAAAACACGCAAGACTCACAATCTCTAATCTTATTTCATATTCAAAATCAACTAATCAAAATAAACTAGAGGAAGTCCTTTATATAAGGCTCCTAACCCTAAACCTTAACTTGTCCAACAAGACAAGAACTCTTATTAAATATTAAACAATAATATTAAATTACTAACTTACTCTCTAAGACACCTATTAAATAATAATAATAATAATAATACTCTACACCACATCATAGTTTAATTGTTTATACATTACAATTTACATACATCATTTAATATACTGAATTGCTAAATACCGCACCTATTTTACTAATACCGCACCCTAAAATGACAGTTTTGCCCTTTAATCATATTTTCTTTTAAAAAAAAACTTCCTCGAAAGAAGCACGACGGTACAAACGAAGTAATGTCCCACCTTCTAACCTATTTATTGGCCAAACCGAGCATCAAAAAATTCTGAAAACACCTCCGAATAATTCCGGCGAAAAAATTCTGAAAACACCTTTGAATAATTCCAGCGAAAAAATGTTATCCAACAAGACCGGTCATGCGGCAGTCGGCCGATCAAACCGGCCGGACTGGAGCCAACATTTAATTTAATTTAATTTTTTTTTTTGAAACCGGCCGGTTGCTGATTGCAGCTGCAACTCGACCGGCCGAACGTTGATTGCGGCCGCAACTCGGCCAGCCGCACGCGGCCGGTAATAGCGGCCGCAACTCGCTCGGCCACGCGCGACCGACCCATTTTTTTAAAAAAAAAAATAAATTAAATATTTAAAAAAAATATATAATTTTTTACTACTATTAATTATTAGAGAAACCGATTATTAGTTATTAAGGCAAGTTGCTACAACATATATAGCTATTCATTGCCTTACATTGAACTTTATCATTCAATGTGGGATAATTGGAAATCAAAGTTTTCACTCTCCCAACTTTTTATAGCCACTCTTGGCCTTTATTATTGTGTTTGTAATCGATGTGGGATTGTCTCAAACCTTTATAGCTACTTTTTGCATTCGTTTTTGGTTTCAAAATCAATGTGGGACTAAATGATCCATGCTTTAACACACTTTCACTGTGTATGTCAAGATGAATATCACATTATCATTAATTAAACTTATTATTATCTTAAACTGATAAATGATTAAATTTAACTAAATGAACATGAAAATTGTAAAATATTCTAATATATACCATAATAATTTCTAACTTCTAACATAATAGTAATAAATTCTAATTTATAACATAATCAATTCTAATCTATAATACAATAATTTCTAACCTCTAACAAATAATAATAAAGTCTAATTGCATTTCTAACTATTTGTACATATAAATTAATTTGTATTTTTTTAAGATTTTCGTGGTTTTTATTTTTGTTAATTAAAAAATGTTGAAATATAAAAAAATATATTTAAATAATTTCATATATATTATTATATATTTTATAATAAATGAAAAAA